ATGTCAAGGGAATCTAGGGTGCGCGTTAGACCGGCTTGCTGTCCAGTCTGCATGAGAGTCCGAACGTAAAGGCACGCCAGACAGGACGAGGATCGGAGACGAAGGAGAGTCATGGGTTGAACTCTGTGGCTCGCGGCGCAACCGGAATCGCAGCCAGATTGTTAAACATATGAATCGGGTAACGGAAGGTGGGGATTGTTAGCAAACAAACAATTGGCGCGTGATGAAGTCGCGTGAATGTGAGAAGCAGAAACAGTAGCTGATGAGCACGTTGTAGTACAGTCTATGGTTTTGTACTGAGTATGAACCTCTGCTATCCGTCAGTTTGATCGAAGCACGCAAAGCGACTGCGTTAAGAACTGAGGTTTAGCGTGTCCATAACCACCTGAAACAACGTCTGAGAAGGGGTTTTCGAATCGACCGGGAACGTTGGTGAGTTGCAATAGCCCGTACGATGGAGAAAGCCAGTGCTATTAGGAACAGCCGAGAAGTGTTCCAGTAAACCCGGAACACCGGTCCAAAAACGTCCACAGTTAGTATAATTTGGAACACCATGGGTGTTTGCCGACGATACCAAAAATGGCTACACTTTTTAGGAAGAACGAAACAACCAACATGCTCTAGCTTGAACCCCAAGCGTTCAAAACCTGCTGTTCAAAGTGAGGAACGCAATTTACGACAGATAAGTGCTACGCTATGTCATACAAATTCGATATAACATCTAGCGGTCTGACTATTTGTAAGAAACCAATAAATAACTACCACAATGTTCGGGACCTGAGAATGAGATACTCATGCTCGCTCAAGTTTGCCGAACAAATAACCTACGTCACCGCAAAGAGTGTAGCAGAACAGACAAAGCATGTTAGTTGGAACTTCCCATTTCAGGCCGCCTTTTGGAATACTGCTCAATGGTGTACAGTAGCACAAACAAACGAGATCTAATTGTACGAGGAGGTACAACGAACGATGTGAGAAACTCAAGCATGATACCATACAGTTTTGGCATATGAAGCACAACGTAATCATATTCTAAAACTTCCTGCACAACAAAATGCTGACAATAATACAAACATCATCATTAGCATACAACCAAGGAATAAGAAAAATTCTGTAGTGGGATGCAGGTCGAAGGCCACCAGATCCGCTAACTTCTTCCTTGACAGATATGACCAAATCGGGAACAAGTTACCACCCGATATACGTGCTTGCAATTCAGAGCAGGAACTTCACAAAACGGCTAGCAAATATTTGACCGTGCAAACTGTGACCCACCTATTGGGATGTCACGTAACAAACAGCGAAGCATACGAACAAGGCCCAGGACTTATGTGATACAGAAACCAGTCAACAAGAGAGAGCAAACATTGCAGTGGTAGAGCCCCAGCACTCACTGTCTTCTTTCCTCCTCCTACACGGTTATGCTCACGACAAAGTTATCACCAACGAGCGTATAAGGAGGAAGTCAAACAGACACACCTCCACATTCTTCGTCATCACTGCCGATGTTCCTATGACTCTCATTGCAGTTCACTCTTACATTTAACTATTATAGGTGCCCTTCTTGCTCCAGTTCCGTGCGAGTGCCACCACCAGCACTCGATACTACTAAATAGCTTTTAACAAAGCAGCCATCAAAATGCGCTTAAAAGAAATTGGTACCTATTTTTTATACACTTCCGTGTTTATAGCATCAAGCGACGCACCAAACCCGAAATAGACACTGTGCACCATCAGGCAACACGCTGAAACAACAGACAACTAGCATACCACATAAAAACTGAAAATCGAATTTCAGTAAAGTGGTACATTTTCCGATCGTTTATGGTCGTTGAATTAGAAAATACTTATATTTACCTGAACATGCTGTCGCAGGCGTGAGTAGCTGAAAACGAGAATATACAATTTATTTATTTATAACGGCTAATAAAGATGGAGAGCTGATCAAATGATTTGGAATATTGGTAGCTCGGGAGGCTTGTTCTGTTGTTGTGGAGTTCTCCGAGCTGGGCAACTTGATTGCAAACATTTCGCCACCATTCGAGGTGGCATCTTCAGTGAGGGATTGATAGCAGTTAAGTAGCAGTAGCTGGTAGAAAGCAAACCCAATAATGGACACTGTCAGCAACCACTCCGTTCCTCATAGGCAAACGGGGCTAGTAAGTTTGCCTCGTTCTCATTGGTGAATCATTGTGTTCTGCAGTCGTGCTCGAGTCCTTGTCATTAGCTGCGAAAACGTTGTTGCGACGTGCTTGGGATTTTCGCACTCGGATTGGTGCAACGGGTGTGGGTGAGCAGTCTGCGCTCACATTGACCATGCTGTTCATTATCTGTGAGTTGGATTAAGTTCTTTCGAACAACGGTTGTTGATCCTCTTGAGCTTTCTCTGTCTCAGCGGTTGGTATATTGGATCGATGTCGATATGCATATTGATTGCATTCGTGGTTGAGAACCAGGCATATAGAAACACCCTCCGTTTTTGTGTTTCTCCTTCGGTCAAGATCTCTACTTTGTTCCAGTCGAAGCTGTGTCCCTCTTCATCCACGCGTGCTGAAACCAATGAGGTTGCGTAATGGTTCCTGCACGCTCTTTGATGTTCATGTATCCTTCCTGTTTGTCCCACATAGTGCTTTTCACAGTTTACGCAGTTTATGCTATGTACGACATTCTGTCGTTCTAGTGTCCTTCGCTTTCTTTTTGGTTTTGACAATGTTTTCCACAGGGTGGCGGTTGGCTTGTGGGATACCATGATATGATATTGTTTGAACAATCCGCCGTCATTTCAGATACGTTCCTTATGTACGGCAGAACTATACGTTTCGTCAAAGCTGACGTAGATTCGGTTTTTGAGAGTTTGTGGTTTAAGCATTTTCGGAGGAAATTGCGTGGGTACCCGTTGCGTTCAAATGACTTGAATAAGTGCTTTTCTTCTCCTCGTTTCGCTTCTGTCCTACTGCAGTGAGTTGCTATTCTAGGGGATACTGCCTGCACACAGCTTATATTGGGATATCTTGGGTGCTTGCTGCTGAAATTCAGAATTTGATCGATATGCGTGACCTTTCTGTAAACTGATGTTTGCAATTCGCCGTCCATTGTTCTGGCTACTAACACATCCAAGAAAGGAAGTTTGTTGTCTTTCTCTGATTCCATGGTAAACTGTATGCCGTCCATAGCGTCGTTGAGTAGTAGTTGTGCAATCGATACTTGATTACGTTTGAGTATCACAAACGTATCACCATATCATGGTATCCCACAAGTTCTGCTAGGTGGCCGGAATATGCAGATGACATAGCTATGCTTGAATAGTGGTTAGACTGGTACGTATCGCTCCACGCTTCATCATGTGTTTTGCACCCTCAAAGCGCAAAGTACTGCTGCAGGACTGGACAAAAACACCAATGGTTCTAGCTATCATCGAACAGCCACTGGAAGTAGCGAGTCGAGTAACGCATCGTGGTAGCTGTCACCACCGGCTATCGATGATCACACCACTAAGGAAGTTACGCTGCGTACTATCAAGACGCGTGTGGCTGACCAGAGACTCAACCATTGGAGATGGCGGGATATCAGCCTGTCAGTGAAAGGTAAGGTGCATAACGTTGTGGTAAGGCCAGTCTTATTGTATAGATAAGAGACCTAGCTATTTGGCAGTGAACACATTAAACGCTTAACGGTGTTTGACCACCGGTTCTTGCATAGTATCGCCTACATTTAGTGGGAACACCGGGTGGGCAATGCTGGTGACCGTCAGTTGATTTATGGCAAGAAACCCTTTTGTGTCTCACTCGAGTGTTTGGCGAATCTTAACGGCTTACGTTGGCTAGGTTATGTTTTCCGTATGCCCACTGACTGCCTATCTCGGTGGGCAACATGTGCCGTCGCGCAACTAAGTTGGGCGAAACCGCCAGATGGTCAATCGATGATGTGACATACAGGCATTAAGAAATTGTCTGAGATAGTTTCTCAGGCTGATGCGTGCAACCTTCGTGGACGGGGACCCCGGGATGGTCCACACTAGTAGTTAAAGACCCTTAGGGGAGATGGTGCAGTCTGTAGCGTGCCTGTATTCGGTTCATTGCATCCAGCCATTATATTCCATTATGTACCGATTAGTTTAACGCAATTCTTTCGTGATTCCCTTTCTCTTGTACTCTAGTTGCGATCAACCACACAATGTTACCGTTGTTATTTCTGTCAACTGGATCTACCGAAGAGTTATGCTCCGATCATAGATGTTCAACTGAACTGCAGTAGAGCATTGCCAGTCAGATGGCATCGCAAATGGTGTTGGTTATGCAGCGAAGTAATAGCATATTCCAGGCCGAGGATAATTCAGCTGCGTAAGCAACTGAGAAACAGTATTAATCTGAGCATCAAAGCACTGAATCAAGAGCGTAACCTGACGATTTAGTGAGTCGAAATAAAAGCGGTTGCAGTCTAATTGGAGTTATTAGTGGAACAGAGGCGACTATGAGGCATGTAACAACGGGATCAACTGTTGGAAACAAAACGGTTAAGAAGGTGCACAGAATGATTGATGCCTGCTGTCACCAGACCACTAGATGGTACACACACTTGGTACACTGTCGGATTGTCTGGGCTAAGACGTGGTGGTGATCAAAATCAGTACTTCGTCGATAAGCTAGGGTAACCAGGGGAGCTAGATATATTGTTCGCAAACACGAATGAATGGGGTATAAGTAGAGACAGCGGTGGAAATACGATGTAGCGGCTTAAGAATTTCGAATACTAAAGGTCAACTTCAGACGGATAAAGAGAAGTACGAGTGTTTGGAACCAGTGAGTCTGTAGGAAACCGGAGTTCCTAATCAAAGGAAAAGGTAAATGGGGCGGGCAACCAATATAGCGAATGAGACCAAAAAGAAACAAAAATGCTAGTTGTCAATAAGAAAGCGATGAGACGCCTCAAATTCATACGATAAGCAGAGAACATAGAGGCAAGTGGCAAAAAACTACGTGAGACTAAAAATAGGTACTCACTTTTGGTTTGCACAATAGCAGCGTTTTGTCGAAGAGAAAGAGGTACCTGGACAATGTGAAGTGAAGGAAAATGGCATCATTGAGCGATAAACTGCAAAGGAAGCATCGTGATCATCCTTCACTTGTACAATGATAAGCATCGTAAAGGAACTGGACTAGTTGTGGCCATCGAAACCACACAGGAAGAACATTCAGGGAAGCACGTAGACGGATACAGAAGCTTTGCAAGGTAGGACGCACCATGACACACGGAGGAAGTCGGTTAACCTGACTACTCAGACGAAAATAAGGGTATTAAAAAAAACATTTCCATGCGAAGTGATAGCGAAGCTTCTAAATCAAGGAAGTTATGAGGGCCGGTTTTGTATGGGGGAAACCATGAGACAACACTCACTCTTTGATAGTAATATGGAATGCTAAGGAGATATTCACAGCAACATACAGCTGAGACAAATCGCATTGCACTAGGAACAGTAAGCAACGAGTGGGATAAGCAACGAATATGAAATCAGTGAACTGAAGTATTCACAATGCGCAGGTTAGGTAAAGAAAAACTCTTCAACTAAAATGCATATGGTGTTCATTTGGGACGTTAAGGAAAATACCCAGTAGCCTATGGTTGTAAAGTATGCAGTGGTTCAATATGTGCAAGACATGTGCGCCCGTTACGGGGATGGTGACTTAAGATGTCTCTCGTGACACGGGTGTACAAGTGATTTAGGTACACTGCCGCAAATGGAGCATGAATGAGTTTAACTAAGGTACAGTTCGTGCGGTGGTCAGAGAGAGAAAAGTGACAAATACCACAATGCCGTGGTCCATTAGAGTCAACCAAAAACGGTCCATCATTAAACAGTACACGTGAATTAGGGTAAGAGTTACCAATGCTAAGGCTCAACGGAAGCAAACAATACGCGTACAACACACCAGAAGCCAGTACAAACATACATGACTAGTCCGTCGAAGAGTAAAGCCACAGTCTACTGAAGCGGAGGCGAGCATGGGTTTCATTTATCTGTATCTCATGAAAATCAGTGGATTACAGCAACATGATACTCTTGATTTATAGATAAGGGGAGCAAAATCAATACCCAAGCATCTTGTAACAATTAGGGATATAAACTGCTACTTGTCAGTAGGAAAGTATCACTGCAATGTTCCAAGTAGAGTGGAGTAAAGAGAAGAGCCACAAGTGATCATTCGGTAGTCACAGCTGAGTATCATGGAGAACAAGCAGGTCGTCTCGCAACAACGCAAGTTCACGGTGGATTTTTTCGAGGCTGAGGTCGGAAAGGAATACTCCCCAGAGGGATTTAGACTTCGATGACTGTTGACTGGATGGGTAAAATAGGAGGAACAGACCGCAAAGCAAGAGACCAGAAAGTAGATAACTGAGCCATCGCCTGGTGACTCATTTCGTAGGAGTAATTATCAAAGTTTTCCGCTCTGGTCTTCAACTGAGTAGATTGGCCACAAAAAGAAAGGTGGCCGTGAGACAGAGGTGGAGGTATACATAGGGACGGGGTGCGAAGCAGTGGCATGAACCAAGTCAAGTCACGAACAGAGAAATGCCGTCCGACAACTGATGGAAATGAGCAGCAAGCATCCTTTCATGCTAACCTGATTTTTGCTTTTGAATCCTGCTGATTGATCACCTTCACTTCACCGTCCATATGCCGCCGTCCGTAGATGGAAAGCTTTTTATCTCTGGGCTGGAAAAGCAAAAAGACGGGATGCAAAACAACTTTGCAACCACGAGGAAGAAAAGCGGATAAGAATGCGCTGGAGAAACTCGATTAGTACACGCAATCTAGAGTGTACACTGGCAAATCTGCGACCGGAGTGACTGAGATAGTGTTTAATGTGAGACTAGTTGGAAAACCAGCCCCGATATGTCCGTCGTGGAAAAGGAGCGCTTGAGAAAGAGGATCAGAGGGGATTTGCAAGAAACTGTAGCTATATCTAGACGCCTGAATTAGCCCGCTCCGATAATAACCGGTACGGAAGAAAACCACAACCTGTGCGTTACCACAAGCGGAACATGAACGGGGAGTATAACGTCAGATGCAAGTTCGAAAGGGAATGAGACCAGGGAATGTAGATGCACTATAGTGTGGAGCTGTAAAAGAAGAAGAAAGCTGACGAAACGCAACAGTACAGTTTAACTCCAGTGGCGAACGGGACAGTGAACAGACCGAAAACGGAAACACAAGTACCGATGGGAGGAAATTAATGCAAGGACGAAGCGACAGTCAGATATTATAAGAAAGAAGGGCCAGCATATTTCACAGAAAATCACACGACCTAGATCGTTGTCGATTCCACGGTGACAAGCATTAATTGGTGTCCAATGGCGTAACGGCAAGTTCTTCGGGTAACGGGCTCTACGTCCCGAATTCGAGGAATAGCCCCCCACTATCTCTACCGGATGAAAGGCAACAAGTACGGGACAGATGGTGGAGTGCAGTGTGCTGCGCCAGTGGACATCACCTAGCGGTTAGACACTTATGGAGATGACGATGACGATGGTGATGATGATGATAGCAACGACGGGGGCTTCGGATAAATGATCACTACGTTCCGAATTCGTGGCTATCTCCACCGGATGAATGGGAACAGGTAAGGGACCTACCATGGAGTGCAGTGTGCTGCCCGAGTGGGCGACACCCAACACACCAGCAAAGAGGGTATGTAACAATCACTAGTTCAATGGCAGCGAACGTCATACCCTGAGACAAGTGATGAAAGAACAGTGATGGAGCTCGGAAGTTCATCCAATCGAATTGTCCGAAAGCAAAACTCAAAATTACTGGGTGGTGTAATTGAACGTTTATAAACAGACGGTAGGTAGTAGGAGCAAGGAATGTGCAAATGTGGGCTGGATATCGAGGTGTGTGCGGGTCGAGAAAGGCTTAGGACCGGGATAATCAAAAAAATGATTAGTGAAAACTCTGTCGGAACAGGTAGATGTCAGACTGTCCCACTAAGGAGTTCCATCAATCACTCGCAAGAAAATTAAGAAATTAAGAAAAGAAACAAAGTAGCGCATTTAAAAAGAGCAGCGCACAATGTAATGCGTCGATAACCCGACGGATCGCAACCTATAAGTCATTTCAAGAGATTTGTTTGCCCACTCAATGCAGGTGAACGATGAGCTAAGGATGAGTGGCTGGTTTACATGCCGTTGGCGTTCCCAGTGAGACAAATTTCGGACGCAAATCGCCCACATAAAGATGTCCACTGTAGTCTTACCCACGCGATACCACGCTAGGACGCCTTGTGAGTAAAGTTGTGCTTGTCATGGACTGCATTGGCGCCAAGCAAGAATATGTGTACTACATGCGTTAAGGCTACGCTGGATTTCGTCGAGGTCGGGGCTACACAATATGCGTTCACATTGCGTCAATTGTTGGAGCACCGTCATGTTTACTGGCGACTCACCGTTGTCGTAATTCACGACATCAAATGTGACTCGATTCGGTGGATCAATGTACTGTTTGACACTGTCTGGTGGGGAAACGCGTGCCCAATAAATAGGTAAACATTATCAGAGCACTGTACACGCATAGTTCGGCCGGAGTGAGGGTTTATGGCAAACTTTCGCCCCGCGGTGTCAGACAAGGTTGCTCGCTGTCACCTTTCCTCTTTAAATTTGCTACTGACGAAGTCATGGAAACAGCGTTCGCTGGACACGACTTAGAAGGTACGGAGGTACTTCTTGATGAGCGACTTCTAGACTTGGAATATGCGGACGACATTGCCCTAATGTGTGTCAGCGCCCAAACGTGCCAAGCAGCACTGGATAGATTAGCACTGGCTGTCAATTGTTTTTGGCTATGATTCGCTCCCTCTAAATGCAAAGTCCTTCTCCAACATTGGCAAGGGCCCAAGCCTGCGCTGACCCACGGTGGCGATCAGTTATAAGTTGTTCAGTAAGTCAAGTAGCTGGGCAGCTATATTAGTGCCCGTGGGACTAAAGATGAGGTTACGAACCGCAAAGCAAAAGCTCGACGTGCTTTTGACAATATACACCACCTATGGCGATCATGTGACATCACTCTGGCTGTGAAAGGCAGAGTTTATAACGCAGACATCCGTTTAATCCACTTATACGGTTGTGAAACCTGGCCCATCAGAGCAACAGATATAGAGGCTAGTCACCTTTGATTATTGCAGCTTCGCTCATGTCTCGTGGGAGCACTGTGTAAGTAATGTGTTCGGCGTCGCGTATTTGGTGCAGGAAGGGCTAGTGAACCGCTAAGCACAATTACCTCACGCACCAGACTCCGATGGCTGGGCCACGTATTGCGCATGCTAGCACACTGACTCCCGCCACGTGCATTGTTTGCGCGCCGGGTGTGCGATTGTAATAGGAGGGGAGTCCAAGCGATGACTTGATCGAGAGAAGTGAAAACTCACACTTTGAAGTTGGCGTCGGTTGCTGAAACCCGAAAACCTGGCTAGGGTCCACAAGGACGTTTGATTGGACACGCTTGCTAATATGGCGAAGAGCCGGCCCCAATGGCGTTTGGGTTGTGAGTTTCTTCATCCATTCCCTCTCCTTTAGAGTACCCCTCCAATAACGACCTCCTTCCAAATGCATAATACACTATTTAACGTTATACTACTCGCTTATTTAATTCCTTCTATCGTAATCTTGAAAGTATATTGCCTTTCTGTATTGTGGCATTAGCTGAAATGTGTTTCTCACCTTCAGCTAATGCGATGATGATGATGATAATGAACTGCTTTTGAGTGACCGAAATCCGCCCGAAATATCTTAATGGGAAAGCTAGGAGTATCCGAATAGGTCACTCGGCGGAAGTTCGTCGATGTCTCCTATGTACACTCATCGGTCACTAGTGCTGTGGGGAAGAAGAGGGCGAAATGCTTGGAAAAAATGAGGGCCAGTATGTGGGATAAGAACAAGCCGCCAAAAAAAAATTCACGCAGTATGGTACACCCTTAGTGCTGTTACTATCCCCTAATCCAACTAGTGCACATTGGGTTGAAACACACATGTGAGTAAATACCCTTGAGACAACAAAGACAATGGAAATCACACAACTGTTTACCACTCATGAATGAGCATGACATTTTCTATAAAATATGATCTGTGTCAAATACGAACACAGTTTCTCATTCGATGAGAAATATACTTATCATTATCATTATTATTGTATCAGGATCTCTGTAGTGGAGTATTGATTGAGGATTAACTGATCAAATGACGATCATGAGGCACCTTCCAGACGCTGCGGTGAAACGCAAGGGAGAGCAAATAACAACCAGCATACCAGCGCAAATCCCTGTGAACAAGTTAATAAGATCAGTAGTTGAATACAACACGAGTAATTTTGGCAAGAATACAGTTTCAGTAGTTGGTTCATTCTCAAGAATATCCAAGCAACAGCAAAGTGTAAAACAGCGCATCATCCCAGCATCCATATTACATTGTAAAGCATTATAGTCGGTACACCGTACGGACGCTTCGCTGTCACGGGACAACCACCGGTCGCGCCAAGGCTGGGTATATAGAGAATTCGCCTGCACTTACGCGGATTGGAACCGGCGACCTGAGGATTACAACGCAAGCGTGTAATCCTTTCGGTGACTGGCTATATCACTTGGATCGCATGCAGCACGGGGTGGAATATAACCGCAGAAGCGACGCAGCCTACGTGACTACAGCATGTCCGATAAATGTTCAGGCCAACAGGGGCGGCTGGTTCCCATATAGCTTCATTGACCCAAGTCTCCGTAGACCAGAAACGTCCAACGGGTCAAGACAGTGCTTCGCAGATCCCAAAGAAATCAACTCCGGCATAGTACCAGCTTTTCTGAAAAGTTCAGCTGACGAACTATCTATCCTCAATGCACCGGATAATGGTGGGAGACTATGATGGTTGTAGGTAACACTGAGTCGAAGTAAAATGGACAGTGATGTGACAGTTGTTACCGCTGCAGCAGCAATAGAGCGCACCCCAGCAGAACACCATAAGTTGCAGATGGCGTGATTCAACTCTTGCTGATGCTCGCTTTGGAGCACTTGCATCGATAATGGCTGACTCATAAGACTTTGCGATTTTCCCTAACTTTCGTTGGGAAATGCAGTAAACAAACACCAGACCAAGTAGTAGTCTCTTAAAGATGGTGATGCGTATTCAGTAAGTGATGGCTGTCAGAGTACAGGGAAGAAGATTCACCAAGGAATGGAGTATCGATATACTTCTAGGGGACTCCATGATCAAGACAACCACTCAACATCAGTCAACTTGATAATGAAAGCTCATGTGACTGCAGGCAAATTCGAGTAAATATGGCGAGGTGTTTGGAAAGGATTCGTGTGAACACGCAAGTGGATATGTTAACAAGGCACACCTAAATGCCTGGACTAAGCCAGTGTGTGTTGAGTTTGGCAACGTTCCTGCCAAAGTAGAACACCTACACCACTATGACAAAGGGGTAGTTGCTTAGATACAGTACCGTATCAAGGCAGCACGAGCGATGACCTGAGATCAGACGGGTGAACGGAAAAAAACTATTTCGACAGAACTGTCGCCATCGCGGCATGACGAACCTGTCGAAACCTGTGTCACGCGAAACAAAATGAATTATACGGGGCTACAAAACGCGGTTTCCATAGACAATACATCCGTAAACGAGAAAAATG